GTCCATATATATTGATTAGGAGTCACCAGGAATTGGGTACATGGGTCCTGAAATGACAGATGTCTTAGCAGCTATTGATAGATGTGGGGAAAGTCATTTCATACATTGTTGACCCCCCTATCTCTATCCTTCTTTGACTGTGCCTTGCATAATGGTTTTGGTCAGTGACAAATTTAGTCATTAATGACACACGGGTATCTTGACTTCATGTATTCATTTGTACATGCTGTATGAGATATGAAACTGTTTTCTGAAACACTTTGTTCCAAATGATTCTCATCTTCTGTCCTCTTCCAACCATCAAATGTCAAAATATCTAACAACCATACATCAAAATGGATTTGACTTGAGCCTGAATTTAGGAACTGCTTTTACTCTTCCACACTCTTTCCAGTTTGAGCATTATTGCTGTGACAATCTATATTCAGAATTTTGTTGTTGAGGTACTATTTTGGAACTGTGATACCCAAATACTTGAAGGTTGACATTTTTCTCCCCAGAGATTCTCCATACAAATGTTGGCACTGATAGTGTTCCCTTAACTGTTTGCCATTACCTTCTATTCCCATCCTATATACATTGGATCTGGCCATCTATTTGTTCATCAGGTCTTGGAGTTACTGTTTTTCATATTTCATCTGCAAATTGTGTTCCAGATTGGTCTATCACTGATAGAAATAGAGGTACAGTGGTCATAAAATGTTGCTATATCTTGTCTAGAAATGGTATCAAGAGAGGGGAGGCAGTGGGGAGGCATCCCTGCCTGGCACCAACAGTTGTTTGGAAACCTCCAATTTGATTGTAGAGGAGAACTACATTATTGGCTGTTCATCAAGAGCCTGTATAGTTTAGACACTATCTTCTTTAATGTTGAAACTTCTGACAATGCACCAGAGGTTATGCCATATCCAGTTGAAAGCTTTCTTAATGTCAATGAAATTGTGGAAAAGGTCACATTGATGCTACAAAGATTGGACATGAAAACAAAATTATTTTTATCTCCTGAAAGTCTTAAATCTTTTGTAAGCAAGACACCTTTTTTTTTTTGTTTATTTTTATAATATATATATTTTTTCTTTTCACCCCAAGCAAGGCAATAATGCCACTATGATACAAGGGGCTACGGGGAATGAGAAGACTTTAGAAGGATCCGGAAACCCAATCCTAAACAGGAAACAAATGATAATGCCTAATTTCTTTTCAATTTTGTTTACTCATTCCAATTATTGAATAAACATCTAAATCATGGAGCAGTCAGAACAATCTTTCTCAAATTGTATTCCACTGTGACGATACTTTTAGATGTTTGTTCATGTGCTTGCATTCAGAAATGGAAGCTAGGGAAGAAGTTTGTTTATAAACAATTGTGATTTATTAAAATCTCATTTCTTTTACTTTGTATTGCATAAAGTTAGACATTGGAGAAATTTGTTTCAAATCATGTCAAGTCATCAAATTCAGATGATTCATGATTTCATCTCATAAAGATTGGAAAGCAAGTAAGTCTTGCCTTGATTTTTCTTCCTTCTAAAACCTTGTTTTGTTGACCTGAATAATTTTGGGTAGATGTTTGCTTATCTTACAATATTTGTCAATTTCTTTCTGTTATTTCTATTTGTTTTTGCTTTGTGGGCATGGCATCTCTATATCGTATCCCTCGTCGTCATTGCTAGAAGCTTTATGTGATATCTTAATACTGTTTCTATAATCAAAGTTTTGTTTTCAGGAATTATAACAATTCTAATTCTCTGTTATATATTTAAACCTGCAGCAGTAAACTGAAGAGGTCTGTATGAACTTTTAGCCAACAATAATAAGGGGAACATTCTCTTTTCATTTTATTTTTTACCTGAAAATCTCACTTTATTCCCAACTTCTCTCTTTTTTTCTTTCTTTCAAGACAAATTTTTACTTTCTTTTTCTGATTTATTTTCTGAATTAGATTTTTCAATTTCTCAACTTTTTGAGTTTTCATTCAATTAATTTTTTCATTTATTTCCTTATAAACCTGAAGCTTCATTATAGACTTTCGGTGTTTATTTATTCTCTCTTTTTATTTTTTATTTTTTTTTAAACAAGGAAATTAAAAAAGAAAATATGAAAGTGTATTTTGTTTAAATTTTCACTTTTGAATTGTTGCACCCTGAATATATTTTTAAGTATCTATTGAGAAGCAAATTTTTTTTTCCTTAGAAAATTGAGTGAAAAAGTTGTTTATTTGTTTTTGTTTTATCTATAATAATTGTTTTTTTGTGTGGGGTGGGGTTTTTGGCATTGGTTTACCCCACTTGTCTACTTTTACTTCTTCAAAATGCTGCAAATAAAAACTAAATCAATTTTTAACAGCAAATATTTTAAGGCCATTTAAAACTATTGTAAATTTCTAATAATTGTCATCTTATAAGTGGATACTTTTTTTGTGTTTCTGCTGCCCTCAACTGAAACTTTGACCATGTTGTAGTCATTTTCTCAACTAATTATCATATTCTTTTAGAAAGATACAAGACAATCCCAAAAATTGCTATGCAAAAGATTTCAGACAACCTCATATAAACAATGTCAGATACAGTGTTTTAAAATAGAAAAATGTCTTATAATTTCATGATATGTTGATTTCAAGAAATTCATGCACATTATTGATATTTTGTGTGGCTTCCTGTAACTTGAACAATTATTTTGATGTGGTTGGGATGAGGTGCATACAAATCCTTCACAGATAGGAGATATCCTTCAAATTCATCCAAGTCTGGTATCAAATGTTCCTTCAGCAACAGGATGGATTTGGCATGATTCAAGCGATTTTGTCACTTTTAACCAATTTTCTTGAACCATTCCTTTTTATGCAGCCCTAAAGCATCAGGTTCTTACCACTGTTTCTGTTGTGTAAGAGGGGTCATTTTGCTTTCCCTCTAAGCATTCTGACAAATTTGCACTTAGCAGAATACAGCTCGATCTTCATTTCATCACTGAATGTGATCTTATCCCAAGCAACTTAATAGGCAACCAGTTTTTTTATTTTGTCTTGCTTTTTCATTCACCCATAACTTTTTGTGATGTAGATTTTTGCCAGACATTTCTCCAGAACTCAAATTTCAGTCGGAATTTAAATGACTCAAATAGATGTTGATACACTCAACAAACGTTAATTCAAGTTGTGAAAAGTTCTTTTTGTATTTTTTTCTGCTGGATGAAAAATCTAACTTTATTTTTTTTTAAAGAATAATTTGTCTTAGTCAATAATTAAAACAACAATTGAACAACTTGTCTTTGAAAATTTTTTTGTCATTCATATCTGGAAAGCCATATAAAGAACCAATTACGCAATTTTGTGATGTGTTTTGGATATCATGAAATATTTTTAGCTTCTCATCTTGACTGTATCAGAAATTTATCTGGTGAGCTTGGTTTTAAAATCCATTTCACTTTTATTCACACGTTTTCTTTGTATCTTGGTTAGATTAGATAAATATTGTAGGGGGGCACCCAATAAGGATTGAACTCTCAACTCAGTAGTAGTGATCAATTGGACAAGAGCCTCGTTAAATATTACACCCACACTGAGGTTCCCTCTTTGTATTTGTGTCATATTGCTCACCATGGAAATATTGAATACATTCGTTTTGTTTTTTTAAGAAAAAAAGTGTCTTAACAGTTTAATAGTTTCACTTTTTTATGTAAAGAGTTTAATTTTATTTTTGTTGCTGTTTGTCTAAAACATAAGCATTGTGATAAAATTCATTTGAAAAGAACAGTTTTACACCAAGTCTTTTCTTTTTTGATAACTATTGTTCACCCAATAAAAGACCCAAGAGCCACTCAAGGTAGAGTGTGTTACTGAATGATGGGGTTTGTAAGCGGTGTACGCGGAGGGAGGGGGGAGGATGGTTGCATAGTGTGAAGGTATATAGGAGAGATAACGGTTGACTCTTGACAAAGAGTTTAAGGCTTTAGTAACCAGGGAAGCATTCTCTAAGGAGTTCATTTCATAATGCAGTGGATCTAGGGAAGGTGTCTGAGTGGAATTTATTCTCCCCCAATGAAATATGAAAGGAATGATGATGAATCGATTCATTGTATGTGGCATGGGGTCCTACCTGTGAAGGTCTGAACTGGTGGAACTAAGGAATGTTACTTGTCTAAAAATAGTGAAAGGCTACCAACACTTCATTTTATGGTCTAATTTGGCTTTTGGTAAAAAGCTAGTTAAAAAACATCCTATTAATCAGATTTGTGGCTATTTTGACAGCTTCCACTTCTTTGACTTTTACCTGCAATCTCATAATTGTTGAAATTATCTTATTCTCTTCTCATGGACTGTTAAAAAAAAAAAAAAAATAAAATAACCCCCTGCCATCAACTGTCTTTCAGTCACAACACTGGTTGGTGAGCATGCTTGCTGATTATCAAGCAAGTCCAATTCTCATGGTTTTGTCCTACTCACAAAAGTATAGCAAATACTCACACTTCAAGGTTCAACTTTCCTGATTTTAATGTTTAATATCTTATTTTGACAACTTGAGATATTTTGGGGCAGTGTGTGTCTGTGCGAGGTTTTACAAAATAGCATTTCTTTTTTTTCTTCAAATTTTTATGGTTTTCTTCCCCCATTCAGCAGTTTATTGGTTTTGAAAGTAGAAATGGAGTTGATCAATTCAATTATCAAAATTGCCAGCCAAACTTTATATTTCTGTTGTGTATGATACACCTAATTTACATAAGCGGACTACCGACCATATAAATATGGGTTGGTACCGGAAGACGGGGAAGATAGTAGAGATTAAGAAATTGAATCCAGAGACTCTGCCCGACTGCGATTTAGTCAACCCATTATGCAGGAACAGTCTTCCCAAGAATATACCAAACTAACTGTAAATATTGTGTACCTATTCTTTGTTTCAATACATTTTGTTAACGTACATTTTGTGTTGTATTATTCCATGCTTATTTAAGCTTCAACAATTTCGTCTCATCTATTAACGCTTTGGTTTTTCTCTTTTCAGCTCCCACTAGTTTTCCGAGTGCCTCGTTTATATTTATCACCACTCTCAGTGTGCTTTGTACAGGAGTCTCTTCTGGGGTTTGGAGATGTCATATTGCCGGGTGAGTATTTGGTTTATCTCTTTACATTGATAATCCACTTAATATGTGAACATGTTCTTCAGCAATTTAAAAATGGAGTCTATCAATTTCTGCACCCACCTCTGGAAATTTTATTTTGAATCCTTTTTACATTTTTAATATTTCAGTTAAATTTAATTTGAATATATATATATATATATAAATTTAAACGGTATTATTAGTGAATACATATATTTGAGTAGATTCTCCATTTACACAGTAAATAGAATATTTATTTATTTTTAGCTACTGGCCTGAAATTTCAAAAAATCTTATTAGGAAAAAAATAAGCAGGAAGGAAATTTGTGTCCCTCAGGATAGAGGGAGCCCAACCATTAGCCCACTGTACCTATGTTACTTTGGCTATGAAGAGAAACATTACAATTATTTTGTTTTTTTAGATTAAAGTTTGGAACTCTAAATTACTATTTTAAACAAATCATTCTTTTAGTCATCTATCAAAACTAATATCAATTGGAGGCACACAAGACTAGTTTGCCACTGCAAACAAAATTGTGTCCCTTCCTTGATACAATTTTATGGTGGTATACATTGTTCAAAACTCATTATTTGAATTATTTTGCAATTAAAAATAATAGTATTGATAATCATCTATTATCAATACCATTATCTCCTCCTATGGCAAAATTGTACACTAATAGGAGATTGTTCTTTTTTAAAAGTGCTTGGCTTTGAGTGGATGTATTTTTTTTCTGGTCACATGTAACACACCAGACCAAAGCTGCTGGAGTGGCATCAACCTATTCTGCCAAACTCAATTAAAGCATCTTAGAATGCTGATAAATATATGTTAACAAATAACTTTTTTTCTTTCTTTATTTAAATCACTAATGTTTAAAATTGTTAATTTTATCTTGATGTTCTAAAAAGTGCTATAAAATATCTGAGTTTACCAACTTCAGTAATAAGTCAATATTTTCTCTTTCAGGTGTGCTAATTGTCTACAACCACATTTTTGACATCTATGCCCGTACAAAAAAACTCTATTTTGTATTATCTGTTATTGGTAAGGCTTTTCTTTTATTACATAATGTGAAAGTTTTGCTGATGTGTGACAAGACATTACAAAAGTTACCATTCAACTACCTTATATTTTTGTAATTCTTTCAATATATATTTTTTGTTATTATCTCCCCCTCCTCTTTCTCTCGCACAAATATGAATGAATAAGGTAGTTCAGGGCACATTGAAGACTAAGAAAAATGATAACAACTAAATTTGACAGAAAACTTGTTACACAGACACATTAATGGTTGGATTACATATTTATTCAATGTAACCACACTCAGCCAAAATGGCAGCTTCAATGTGGGACCAGAATGCATCACATGATCTGTATTGACATTAGACATTAGTCTGGGAATTATGGTCACATGTTTGGTGTGATGTAGTTTGGCTGTCATCCACCACAGCTTTGTGAGCAGGTGCAGAGTCCTACTGAGACACATATGGCCTTCCATCACATACAAGATCTATTCAGGGCTTCATAATTATTTTCAACACCTCAGTGTAGCCACAGCAGCATTCAGTGAAAGGCAATGTTGAAAGATGAGGAGGGGGTGGCATAACAGAGCCTGCCAGGTTCTTCTGGATGTTTTAACTTGTTCAGTAATTGCTTTGCACAAAGCAACCTTTTATTCTTGTGTGTGTGTGTGTGTGTGTGTGTTCTTTTTTTCACCACGCATGTGAGTTGTACCAAATATCCTCATGCACCATGTTAAGGACACCTAAGATATCTCTGGTAATGGCTCACATGGACATTTTGAGTTTTACATCAATGTTTTGCACCCATTGTACAAATTGTGGTGTCCTGATACATTGTTTGTTTTTTTGTTTTGTGTGTGGCACTACAGGAAACACATTCACATTGGAGGCTTCCAACTCCTTCAAACTTTGTGCATCTGGTGACTTTGAAAAAATGTGCAATCACAATTACACAGGATTTGTAAAGGTCCTGGAAAAACAGCAATAGCCCAAAAGCTCCTTAAAAAGTCTTGGAATTTTCTAAGTTGGTCATGAAAGTCAAAATACCAAGTCCCAGAAATACAAGCTAAAATTGCCCTTTAAGAAAAATGTTTTTAGTTAAAAAAAAAAAATTTTCCTTGGTTAGAATGAGTTCATGACCTCGTTTTCTTGTCTAAGTGACAAGAAAGAATATAAAGGTGTGTCTTCTAGCTGCTAACCTCACTCAATATAAAACAAGTCAATGTCTCTGTCAATGATAATTAATTCACAATAATAAAATACATTTAGGTAGAATCTTGAAAAATTTATCAGTGTTTTTTAAAATTTGAACATTTAAAGAAATTTTATTCACAAGTCAAGTAAGAAGTCCTTTTGATCTTTTGTCAGCAGTGGGTGAGTTCATGCTGAAAAAAAATAAATACTTTGTGTCCCGTGTATCTATGTGTAAACTACATTTGTCTAAATTGTTACCAAAGGTAACAAGTTTGAGAATCAAATACGTCTTTGGGGGGGGGAAAAAAAAAAAATCTCTTTTTTTTTAAAGTTTGCAGGCTATTAATAACATCTTTTAGCAAATGATGAAATATATTAAAAATTATTTGGCTTTTATTGCTTGGTTTTTATATTAAAAGTTCAATCTGACAACCCTGTCCCTTTACTTTTGTGTTTCTGCCATAGATGGCTAGAAAATGTACAAACATGTGAATGACTCCTAGACATTTGGCAAGATGTCTTCAAATTTGTGAACTTAATTAAAAATCCAGAAAAATGGCCACAGACCAAGTCCTTCTGTGGTGCTGTCAAACATGAATGATGTTTTATTTCCAGTGAAACCTCAGATTTGTGTGTGTTTTGTTAGTATTTCACCCGTTTAAGTCTGTTCAAAAAGATAATTGCTGCTGTATAATAGGGAGAAGGTTTACAATAATGGTGTTGTAAAAAAAAAAAAAAAAAAGTACTTTGTGGACTTGTCGCAGAAAAGAAATGTCCTGTTAACAGTTCTCTGATGTCTTGTGATTTCTTGTTGTTGTTGTGGTGCGGCAATGTCTTGGTGTCTGGAATTCCTGAGGATTGAGAAGATATTTCTTCATATGGAGTAAGTGCTACAATCCAGAGTTAGATATATTGGTAAAGTTTTATTCTGACAGCAATGATTTGCAAAGGAAGAGCACATTAAAAAGATAATTACATTTTCCAAACTGAATGAATTTGTAAGAATTTTTGTCAAATGCAAACATGCATAAAGATACTGCAAAGATCAAGTGTGGATTTCTGGCAGATAAGGCTATGCAGAATTTATCCCAAAAAAGAAATGTGTCAAAAAAAAAATTATCTGTTTGTTTTTGTTGCAATTCTGCATACAATGTTCATCAGCATATTGAGAAACTTCTGGCAAAGTCTCCCCTTAGATATCCTCTTGTAAGGTCACTTGCCTGGCTGAACCCTACATCCATTTGTGAAAAATAAATCACCACAGAAGACAGTCTAAAAAGGTGTTTTTCCCACTTGATGGACAGAAAACAAGTCTGCTTTTGATGACATCAGTCAGTACAAAGAGTTTGAGGAGGAGGCTGCTGGAAATATTGCTTTCAAAAATCAAATACTTTGTTGCTAGACAAAAAGAGTAGAACAAAGAATATCAAAAACTGGAAAGTTGTTTGCAGATTGCTGGCACTTTCTTATGGATAGACTATTTGGTTACAGTTTAAGATGCTGGGAATGTTCCCATGACTAAGGCTCTTCTCTGCAGTGTTTCCAATGCCAGAACAACATACGACCAATAACTTGTGGCAGAGAAGAAAAAAGGCAGGAAGAAGTGGCTGAACAAAAACAGAAATCCATACTTATGGAAAATTGAAGAACTGAAGACCAAAAAACAGTCTTGAAAGTTGGACACAAGATTTGCTCAAGTCGGAAAATTGGACACAAGATTTGCTCAAGTCGGAAAAATGTTAACATCATTATGTTCTGTGCCATGTGCAACAAAAACCATGAGTAGAAATATGTCATCTTTTGGGGAAAATTTCTATTTGTAGCTCTGTTCATCAAAACCACTATAATCAAGAATTTTTCTGATATTCACAAACCATGAATCGTCTAGATAACTGAAATGAGTAGCAGTAAGAATTAAAGTGTGTCATTCAAAAATTTTCATGTGTAGTAGAACTCCAAAACTGTAGAATGCTACCAAAAATGTGTAACATAACCAGGTCTATATTCAGTTGTGCTTTAGCCTTCAACACTTTGATTTCTTCACTGCTTTCAACTAATCCATAATGACATGAATTATTGGAACCAGCTGTAGCTTTTCTTTGAACATCTCACCTGTCAAACTATTAAAAGATAAATCACAAATTTTGTGTTTTTGAAATTGATGACCATACACTGTGTGTGTGTGTGTGTGTGTGTGTGTGTGTGTGTGTGTGTATACACACACCAGTTTGAAAAATCCTGGTTTTTTTTTTTTTTTTTTTTTTTACACACAGATCTGTAGGAACCCTGAATTTACAGCATGCGTTTCATCTCCTGCATGATTTGAGTCTTCACCATTGATGCTCTGAAAAGATAAAAGCCCATCAATTATTACATAACTTCAGGTGTACAATCACATCCTCAAACACCTTACCATATATATATATATATATATATATATATATACACAAACAAATTACAGCTGGAGTAAAAATCTACAGTTCGTAGCATTTAATTTTTTTAAAAAGTGCTCAATACAAAGTAGAGCAAAATATTATTATAATATATTCATTATAATAAATTACAATAAAAACAATTTACATTGCTACACAAAAACTTACATGTTTTTGGTACTAAGATGGTAGATAACTCATGATAAAAATGATTTATTAGGGAAATTTAAAAAAAAAAACTTTTCATAAGTTAAGGGTGGGGGCATAATGTCAATTAAAATTTTTCTTATGGGTGTGTCTAGATTAACCAATGAACATCATGTGTACACTAACATAAATATAAGGTCAGAGGGGTGGGTGGGCTATTATTTATTACATGTCAAGAGGACTGATGCTTATATTATTCAACAATACTAGGAAACAATTTCAGTGACAAATATTTGGATCCAACAATAAAACATGATTTGGTGATTCATTTTTTTTTTTTTTTTTATAAATTTTTTAATATACTCAGGAAGTTTCTTAAAAGAGGCCTATAAATAAAATTAAAGATGTGTAAACAACTATATAAGTTGTTAATTATACTGAATAGATGGTAAAAAATGGCAATATTATAGTTAAAAAAAATGTTGTGTGGGCTATTATATACTAATAAAATAATGGCAATACAATTATAAGTAACTATTGATGAAAAAACTTTTTAACTATATTTTAAGGTGAAAGGCAGGTGATAGTGGCTTAGCACCGTTAATTCATTTCTTTGATTTAACAGGGTTTTATTTTTAGGAAACTTTATAATATGCAATTTTTCTTGTAAACATAAGGAACATGGATCATGTAAGGATTTACAGGTTCTAGGTATTTTGCATTTGGTAAAATAGAAAATGTTAATAACGAGAACCTGTAAATCCTTACATGATCCAAGAAAAATTCTGACCATCAGGTAGTCCCTGGTATGAATAACATAATACAACAATATGTAGAAGCTATTTCTCTTATATCTTCAAAAATATAAGACTTAAATAATAGAAAAATGTCCCAAATGAACCACTGCCTGCTACTGTCTCTTGATTCTTTACTGCCATTGGAATGACAAATATAAAACAAATTAAACACATTTTGTCTTCCTTAGAAAATTACAAGATGTCTTTGTTTTAAGCATACAGCTTTATAATAAAAAAGTTAATGAAAATGATAATCAGTTAATTGTAGATGAGAAAAAAAATTTTACTGAATTTTACCTGGAATAGGGTTTTTATTTGAATATATCATGTATCTGTATTTTTTAAAAATATTTTTATTCTTTCTTTCCAGCCTATTTATTAGGTCTTGTTCTTGCTTTTGTGGCTTTATCTATAATGAAAATTGGTCAGCCAGCCTTGTTGTATCTTGTGCCCTGTGTCCTGTTGTCAACTATCATTCCAGCTTGTATCAGAGGAGAATTAAAAGTAATGTGGACAGGAAGCTTTTTGGTAAGTGGACATTTTTCTATTCTCTATATAAAACTATGTAATAGAGGCAGTCTCTTAAATGCATATTATGATTTTGCTTAAGTCTGTCTTAGTCTGTGTTGTGTTTCTTAGTTTAAACTATCTTTCTAACCAATTTGAGAAACAGTTTTTGTTATCGTAATTTTTATTCATGTATGGTATTTATGAATAACCCAAAATGACTAAAAATGCATTGACATTTTGATGGAGATTCTTGACCCTCTCAACTTTTTGGTAGATACAGATGCATACCCCCTCCCCCCAAACTGACTTCTGCATAAATAAGTGGAAAGAGTGAACAGGATATTAATAAAACTCAAGGATAATATTAGGATGAATAATTTATACCATGTGACCTTTATTATTTTCAAATACAATCTGAAAAAGCTGCAGGATTCTTAACCTTTTTGGGAGCCTGCTCCACAGTGTCATCAATCTGGTTCAGGTCTGGGCTGGAGATCAGAAATCAACAACATTAGCTTTGCAGAACCTCTGTATGAGCGCACCATAGCAAAATGTGGTAGCTGAAGACCTTGTAAGTTTCAGCACCCACCTTTTAGAAGAAAAGGGATCTTTTTTTTTTTTTTTTTTTTTTCCCTATTGGCACCTACAACACATAATAACCTCATGTGGATGATTGATCCTGGAAGTGCTATTCACATCAACTATGGATTCTACAAGGTACTGTTTGTTTTGGCAATTCAGAACATTTTCTCTTCAGCAGCGGACTCAGGATTCCTGAACTTTCCAGTCTCCATAAAAGTGAATGATTCGAGTTTCAGGTCATTATTTTATGCCATAATGGTCTTTCAGTCTCACTTTTAACTATCTATCATAAGCATAGTTGCTGTTTCGTTATTGACAGTTTGCATCTTGAGTGTATTGCTATCCCCTGCTGCCCAGTGTTAATATTTTAGACACTGCATGCATACACACACACACACACACAAACAAACCGCTGTCATTTTCACAGCATTTGCTGTTGTGAGTGGTGGAAAATAATGTTAATATTTTAGACTGCACACACACTGTTTGGTTTCACATCAATTGCTGTTGTGAGTGGTAAAAAATTTCAGTTTAATATATGAAAAGATGAAACAAGAAATGCTAGCTCTGTGTTTTCTACAAAGTACAAATTTAAATACAAGCTTCTCACTTCTATGACTTGTACTCTGAGGGAGACAATCTTGGGTTGAAAATGGACAGTTTCTTCAGAGAAGGAGGATTTCCTTAAAAATCAGTTTAAGAAGATCAGTTCAAGACCTTTTTTTTTTATTGTTATTATTATTTGCCCTCTACAATTAATCACCTGTCAAAGCCTCTCTATACCTGGTCATATCAAAAGTGGTTTTTGCCAGTTGTATGCTGGTTTAGTGGATTTCCACAAGTTAAATCTAGGTTCAATCCCCCAAGAATCTGGAATCTAACTTTTCTGTTACAATTCATTACATTTAGTATTCGGTGCCTTTTCTGTTGATTTTGCTCATTTTGCCAAGGTTTTCAATTTCCTTTTTAATTGTTCTTTGAGCTTGATGAACATTTTTTTCTTGTGCAATTTCTAATAATTTATTTCTTTTTGGATTAGGGCAAATATTTTTTTACATACAACACAAACTATTATTAATTTTACAAATAAAGTGAACAGCCCTTAATTTGCATAATATCACACTTAGAAATAAGCAGAAGCTAAAATTGAAATTTTTCTCATTAAATGTAAGGTTAATTTCAATGTTTACACAAGGATAACTTTTTTTGCTGTTTGGTAGAGTAAGCCTTCTTGGTTTGGCTAAAAACTTTTCCACACTTTGTTGTATATTCATCTGATTTCATATCTTTCAAATTCTAACTCAACTGCATAAGCATTTTTAAGTTTTCCCTGGACATTTACATTGATTTCTACTTTCCAAGAAAATGTCCTCTTCATACTGACCCTGCTTACCTGCGTGTGAAAGTGAGCAAAGGAGGTTGAATTCTTCTATTCTTGACCTCCACATATTGAAGAAAGATAATAATAATAATTTTGTCCTTGCTAGTTTTTTTTTTTTTTATATATTATTATATTTTCTGTTTTATTATATTTTCTGTTTGTTAGTAAACAACAGGGGATTATACAGAAATTTTAACTCTTGCCAAGATAAACTTGCATCCATTTTGCCTCAAAGTGCAACAGCTGCTCTCATTTTAATGCAGAAGTATTCTGTTGCTGCCCACACCAAATACTTCAACTATTTATGATGCAGATTTATGTTCACTGCTGAAGATCATTTTATTTTCTTTGTGTTTCGGTAAATTTTCAATTGCCTCCAGATATGTTTGTTTAATAATAAGATTCTTTTTCTCTTAATTGCTTTGTGACACCCCGCTTTGCCTTAGGTTGGTGTGAAAGGGGCATGTGGGAAGTGTAGGACGCTCAAGGTGAAGTGTACATGTACAAGCAGCAAGCAAAGTAACCAACCTTTGGGAGAATAATAAACAGGTTAGATATTGCAATGTGTCTTTGTTGCTTCTACTGGTTACACAGCTGTAATCTAGTTGGTGGTTTGCACCATGTTGCACTTCAAGTACAAAAATATAAAGTAGCTTTTCACAATGATTATAGAAACAAGACTTATTTCTCAATTCAGTTTTTTGAAGAATATTTATTTACAGTGACTTTACCAGTTTCACAGTTCTATAATTGAGATGTCTGATATGTCTTGCATCTAACTGGAGTTAGATAACACAATAATGAAATATAATGTTGCTTGGAGTCTACGTACACTTACTGAATTCTGTAGTAAGGATATAAGACTCGTATCAGTATATATGCTTTTTGGATGAGTCCAAGTCGGATTTTGTTTTATGCAACAAAAAGTGGCTCGGATTGCTGTTTAAAATGCAGTCCGATTGGTTGATTGTGAGCATGACTAATAACAAAAAAGGGTTAAATAATTCAGATGTGTTATTGGACGTTAATGTCAATCCCCAAAAGTTCAATGTACAAGAATTTTTTGTGAGTGTAGTTGGAATGTGGAGGATAACATGACAAGTAAAAACTATCGTCATAATAATGATGGCCAAAATAAACAACCTTACTTTCCTTTGATATGTATATATTAATCCTTTGCTCAACTCGGGTTAAAATAGGAAAATTAAAGTAAACACATTATTTTCAAAGATAATGTGATTGATAGTGGATTTAAACTGGGTCTGAAGTTCAAAAGCTTCTCCCTAAATAGAGTTAGGCCTGAATTTATAGCCAATAATTTTAAAAAAAAATTTATTCTTTATGAGGTCTAAGAGTGTAGCTAAAGCTCTTCTGATTGATTTCAATCTGCTATTAATAGTAACATTATTTTCTTTTTTTTTTGTTTGTTTGTTCCAAAGGATCAAGGCACAAAGCACAGCACTTTAAATTAGAAATTTTAAACGAAGACCTCATGAATAACCTGTTAAATCCTATTCCCTGCTCTCCACCAACAATGTAATAAAAGCTTTATTTTTTTAAATAAAAGATGGCATGACTGTCCACCTCAGCACAGCATGTAAATTCTCACTCAATCCATTGTGTGTATAAGTACTTCACTATGAAATTATATTCAAAACAGATGGCTATTTTAGATTTTATTAGTGTAACTAATGGTAACTTGTTATAAAGGTTTCTCTCCCTTATCCAAGTGATTTTAATACTTCTCATGTATAGTGGGGGCAACATTTCCAGCAAACAGAAGGAGAAAGCTTTAATTTCGAAATTTCATGTTTATAAAAACAAACTACAAACTTCTATATTGATTAATTTCAAATATAAGAATTGTGACCATTAATGAAAGATGTCAGTTTGTCATTTCAGCAAACATGCCTGCACTAAGACACCATTTTTTTTTTTTGTTTTTTAACCACCTAGTTTATTTTTATGCTATTTTTATTAGAATGGTTGGCAAAAAAAAAAAAACTGACTAAATGCCAATTAATATTTTTGTTGTAAATTAAAGAATCAAATATCAAGAAAAAAAAAAAAAAAAAAGTATCATGTGAAAGACCTGCCTCTGTCTATTAATTCCTGAATGTGAAAGACCTGCCTCTGTCTATTAATTCCTGAAAGATTTTTTTTTTTATTGAAGATTTAGTAAACTCAAGTATTTTTCAGCTTATGATCTGTGAAGATCATCTGGTGGGGGAAAAAAAAAAATATTTGATTAAAAAAATCTTTTGGTATATTTTGTTGCAATTTGCTTCCAAAACAAATAGCAAAAGCTAAGACTCGCTATTTTTAGTATTAGTAAAGATTCATGCACCTCAGAAGATAAATTTATTCATTTTTATAATCAGACACACTAATTAACTTTTGACTACACATGTCTACTGAAAACAAATAGATTCCTTATTAAAAACTTCCAAAGTAATGTACAAAACCTGTGCTTTTTCCACACATGCTAAAGGCTGACTTAAATTTGAGTATCATCTCATGGAGTAACAGAAGTAGAAATGATAAAGATTTACAAAACCTGGTAACTACCCTTGCTAGCCTATTTTTCTCTCTCTTATCATAAAAGTGATAAGCAGGAAACAATTCCTATTTTAGCCTCCCTCCCTCAACAACTATTACATAACATGGGAGTGGGTTTTTTGTTTACAGGAGGAAATGCTAAATGCATTATTCATTTGGGAACTTTAACCACTTTTTTTTTTTCTCTCTCCAGTCATTTAAGCCCGAACCTGAAGCCCATCCAGAGCCTCATGAAGTCAGTGAAAACACAGAAGAGATAAACGACCCACAACAGTGCAACTCCAAAATGAGTGTGACTCTTGGAAAAGAAGAGGATCATTTACTTGCCAGATAATCTTGATAAATATGAAATTCAAGTTGCAGGGGGAAATGTACAAAGGCTTCCATATTAAGAGCAACTGATGACTGGAATATAAAAATAAAACAATTACACAAAACATGGCTGCCAAGAATAGCTATGTTTGAAGGCTATCCAGTTAGAAAGTTTTTTTTAATTCAGGTTAAAAAAACCTTACAGAAAATCTTAAGTTTCCACCAACACATATTGGGTGGTTTAATAGTCAATACCAGATTGTAAACTTAGCTTAATTTGAAAAATATTAAATTTTCACTGTTTAAAAAAAAAAAAAAAAAAATTTTTATTTTTTGATCATAATTAAAAAATGACTCAACAGAGGACAATCTGGAAAACCAGATAAGAAATAAGTGTTCTTTCATTCTGTCCAGTTCTTTTCATGTGTATTAGGAAATTCCATTTATTTTTATTTTCCTATGACTATTTTTCTCCTCTGGTTATCTACTAAGGGTGAGAAATATATTTAGAGAAGATTCCTGGATAAAAATGGGTGATTTATTGGGGTACATTCTATAGTTGTAGCCGACCCTTAAATTCTTATTGGTTGGCATTAATTAAACATTTTTATATTAGGATGACTGCTTGCATTATATTGTCATTTGAATCTATTGTATGAAGTTAGATACGGAATTTGTGAATTGAAATACCTCTGACTAAAAAGAAGTTGTGTAAGTCACATTTGCTTAAAAGAATTTATAGCAAGAGAAGTATCCTAGTGGGTTGCAAGAAAATTCGCAGAGTAAACTTTTTTTTTTATATTTGCAGGTAAAAATTTACACTAAAGAATTAATGCAAAAATAATACTTATGCTATGATATTTAAATTATAAATAAAATAAAAAAAATTTTTTTTTTTTTTTTTTTTAAACAAACCCATGTTATCATGGCTTCCCTGCCCCACCCAATCTAAATGGGTAAATGGCTCATATTGGAAATTCATCCACACTGTAATCAGTCTGTATCATAACTGTACTATGCCAGCCAGTCCAGGTAAAAATCTGTACAGGCTGCTCATGTACTTTTAAAATCCACAACTCAATGAGCATAGATTACTTGATGGATAAGTTAGCCAGATCAAACTGTGCACAGTAAATATATTTGCCCAATTTGGCTCATTCTGAACCAGTCACCTTTCATTTATATCCAAATAAGAGGAATTATAATCCCCCCCTCCAAAAAAAAAACATTTAAAAAAAAAAAAAAAAAAAAATTAACCTTTGTGAGAATACTTTTGACGTTACAGTTCCTTAAAGCAAAATGTGAGTTGTTCTAATTTTACTTTCAGGGTTTTTGTTTACCATTTCCAAATAACCCCGTCGTATTTAACATCCACAAAAGACTATTTTCACTTTACTCATTTTATTTGGTGCTAATTGTTTTTGTCTTTACTTTGCAAATCTGAATCACCCATACTCTGCTGTTGACAGTGTGTTGTTATTGTGTAAAGAACAAGTTTTCTTTATTACAGAAAAATATGTTTGTTAAATATTGAATTTTATAATTCTATAACATTTATATTTTCCTTCTTTCAAATCTGAAATTTGGAAAATAAACACTTTTTTGTTTGGAGATCCTAACCAAATACTAAGTTATATAAAGAGAGGAAATTCTGGTCTCAATTTTTGGAGCAATTTTTGTTTTTTGTCTCTACTTTCTTGGGCTTTTTTTTTTTTTTTAACATTATGGAGATGTAGGGTTTTATAAACATTGCCAGCCCAGCAAAAGTTATACAAACTACAGTTTGAAATGAGGAAAAAATATTCATGCAAATTTAGATAAAACAAAGGCCACAATGTCCAAATTGAACAGCAGGTTGAATCGGCCAATAAGAATTGTCATCCCAACTTATCAATCCATATTATAAAAAAAAAAAAATAAAATAAAAAATATACGTACACACAATACACTTATTTTGACCAGTACTTTAAGACTATATAAAACTTAAAATGATTTGCTATTAAAGTTTGAGTGAAAATTGTGTCACAGGATTTCTAAAAATATAAAAAGCTTCAATTCAACAGCAAGTACTTGACTAAGTGGTAAAGAAAAGGACTAAATCGTCAGAAACGCAGAAATCCCAGGTGAGAGGCAAATGAGGTCATTAACAAGGATTTGCACAAGTTATCAAATGTGTTTAGAAACTGTCTCCTTAAGTGGGTTAAAAAAAAAAGCCAGAATTTGTCCAGTTCTTCCTTCCCAATATCTATGGCTACCAATCTTGCTTGGAGCTTACTAATATAAGCAGCCATAAAAGCCGACTGTAACTGCGGTCAAATTTGGTACTTAATGAATCTGTGATACTTATATTCTGGATGGTAGATAGTTGTTAAACATGTGAGATTTTGTTTGCTCAATATTCAACCACTTGTGTTTTTTCTTTTGTTTTTCTTTTTGTTGTGATGGTCATTCTCAGCCCTTGTAAAGTCTGTGATAAACCAAGTGGT